TTTTGTCTTTTTAACACAGGAAAATGTCTTGAACATGTGGTTTGCTTAGTGAGTTACTGCAGAAAAGGGAGGCAGCATGTCTGTCTCTGATAGCATTTTGGAAGGCTGTACCTCTGTCCTAGGAAGGTTTAGAGCTGTGAACCCGGAGTGGAGAGAGAGAAGTGCCCTCAGTGAAGTGAGTAAACGTGCAAGGTTGGATTTAAGATGCAGCTCAGTCCTCATAATTTCCTGGTAGTTATTTTAAGAAGTCTGCTCTGGGGTCACTGCGCTCCGAGGCAGGCCTGTGCTCCTGGCCAAAGGGACGGTCTTACGTTCTTCCCCAGTTCACTTATGTCCGCTTCATCCCATGCACAAGCACTGGTGTTCCCACAGCAAGTTGCATCTGGGGATTGCAATCCTTCTATTGTTATTTTTGGATTTTTTTTTTTTTTTTGGAGTGGGAGTGTGTGTCAAGTTAGCTGTCAATGGGTTGTACTCTCTGTGTGACTAGTTCATTGAGGAGACAGGCAGACAAAACCAAAGGGAGGAATGGGCAGGTCATCCCCATGCTTTTGGTCAGCAGCATAGTTTTAAAATTACATAGTTTTAAATGCTGCCTGTTGTTAGGCCTGTGTCAAGGGATATAACCGAAGGTATGGATTTTGTGGTGGGGAAAGACCCAGGCTTGTTGGTGGGTGCCACCCTCAGGTCCTACCTTTGCTGGTGTGTAGAGCTCTGTAGATGCAGGCAGCCCTGTATTGGCCAGGAGTAGCAACACATAGCTCTGTGAACTTGCTGTGGTATGCAAGTGAAAAACTCTGCTTTGCTGTTATGTGTAAGATTTGCAGTCATTCTTGTGTGAATCCGATTTTCCTCTTGCAACAGCACGGGACGCTGCTACAGTTTACTGTCATCTCTGTTCTCTCTTTCCTGGCTGTAGCTTTTGCCCATGCTTTTATTCCACGTGTCTAAGTGCTTTCTTACAGGAGTTTGGGAAGTGGGTCATGTTTGTGGCCTGTGGGGGAGTTAAGAGGACTATGAGTGAATATTCTGATAGTCCTTTTGGACTGAACATTTATTTCAAGGTTCTATGCAACTGGTGGTTCTGAGGGCTAGGAGGGCACGTAACACTCTGCTGCTTACAGCTGCTGGGGGAATTCACAATTTAAAAAAAAGGGAGGGGTAGTTGGGAAGTTACAAAAATAGAACAAACCCCCACTATTTAAAAAGCTCAACTCCATAGGCAGACAATTCCTTGCTATAAGCTAATCAGTAAGGACTTTTCCGCTTGGCTTCAGCAGCTGGAATGTTAACATCTTAGTGGTAATATGAGAGGCTAACTGCTGCTTGTATATACCTAATATATACATATATTCATTCCAAATAGGTATTTGAGACCAAAAAGGGTGGTAGTGATAGCGTTAAAAATAAAAAGGGAATTGGCTTACGGAAGTTCTCTGGAATAAATAAGCCTTACATCAACTCCAAGAAAAGTAGTGAAGAAAATCAAATCAGGTAGACAAATATAGTAATGAAGCATTTATTGCTGATAAATGGAATATTAAATTCCAGTTAGTCTGAACAGAACATGTGGATACCTTTAGCCTGCTTAAATGCTTAAAGAATCAGAATTATTCAGTTATAGAATCATAGAATGGTTTGGGTTGGAAGGGACCTCAAAGATCATCTAGTTCCAACCCCCCCTGCTACGGGCAGGGACACCCTCCACTAGACCAGGTTGCCCCATCCAGCCTGGTCTTAAACACTTCCAGGGATGGGGTCTCCACAACCTCTCTGGGCAACCTGTTCCAGTGCCTCACCACCCTCACAGGGAAGAATTTCTTTCTAACATCTAATCTAAATTGACCCTCCTTCAGCTTAAACCCATTACCCCTTGTCCTGTCACTACACTCCCTGATAAACAGTCCCTCTCCATCTTTCCTGTAGGCCCCTTCAGGTACTGGTAAGCCGCAATTAGATCTCCCCAGAGCCTTCTTTTCTCCAGGCTGAACAACACCAACTCTCTCAGCCTGTCCTCATAGGAGAGGTGCTCCAGCCCTCTGATCAGCTTCATGGCCTCCTCTGGACTCTCTCCAACAGCTCCATGTCTCTCCTGTACTGGGGCCCCCAGAGCTGGACGCAGTACTCCAGGTGGGGTCTGACAAGAGTGGAGTAGAGGGGCAGGATCACCTCCCTCAACCTGCTGGTCAAGCTGCTTTTGATGCAGCCCAGGACATGGTTGGCTTTCTGGGCTGCAAGCGCACACTGCTAGGTCGTGTTGAGCTTTTTGTCAGTCACTTGAATATTAAAACTTGATTATAGCGTACTAGGTTGTATGGGTGACCTGTTACTCTGTGAGTGAAGGGCTGTGCCTTGTCTTGCATAGGCTGCAATCCAAGCTCTGCATTCAGAGACATGGTTTAGTTAGCATGGAGTTCCAGGTTATGTGCGTTAGCTGAGTCATTCTCAAACATGAGAAAATATCAAATGTTTTCATGTACTGCAAACCACGCTAAGATTTGTGGCTTGCTGTTTGCTGCAGGCGTGCAGAACGTTTGACCTTGGCGCTGAGTCCTGGGTAGAACGAGAAGGCTGCATATGCAAAGGTATCTGGCTGCTGGAGAAGTGGGAACAGAAGATGACGTAGATGAGATGAGGTGGTAGGTTTGCAGAAGAGGCTTTTGCTCGCACAGTGTTAGCTTCTCTGTATCAGTAACACTTTCATTATGTGATTTGTTTGGAAGGATAGAACACAAAGACATGCCATAAGAAGGAATTTGGAGTGGGTTGAAGGAGATAAAGGAACAGGCAGTCTGACGGTTTCTGCAGAGGCTACTGGAGGTCTTAGCGCAGCACTACTTTGTTGTATGAACTTTATCTTGGAATAATAGGCTACAATAAGGAGAGACAGAGAAAGCAGAGAAACGTCATTCTTATTTCTAGCCTTCCAAAAAGAGCATATGAGAAATTGCTTGGCTCTTACTTCTTCCTCTTTGCTCACAGCAGAGAAGTTAGCTGCTGTGGAATGGGAAATCTGTCTCTGCATAAAATGAAGTAGAAAAAAGGGGGGAACGGTTCATAGGCAATTAAGAAAACATACGATGACACATGCTTTCTTTAGAAGCCCAAAGGTACGTGGTGGAGACCTTACACAACATTTCTGTATGATGTATAATGTCCCTGAAAAAAGGAAGCTGGCAGCAGTGAGTGGGAGATTTCTTCACATTTTCACTAGAGTAGTGAAGCAGGAAAGTAAAAGTGTCTGGTCCTTGGTTTTAGACAGGAGGAGATGATGGTTATCCTGAAAAGATAACCTTTTCCCTGTCTTGCTCCTGGGAGCCCTGAGTGCCTTGAGCAGGAACTCTTCATCAGCTCCTTGCTGCCAAGCTTTTGTTTCACCAGGCAGCAAGAAGAAACTGCGCTGAGGAGGGCAGTGCTCCCCCCATGCCTAGCAGAAGCTGTGGAGGGAAAACGTGTTTTCTTTTCAGCTCTGCTTTCCTCCAGTCTCATTTCCGGGCTTGAGGAAGAAATGATCTCGCCTTCATAACTCCAGCCTAGCTCTTATGACTAACTGAAAGAGAGCAGAGACATGAAGAGTTTACATGCATCGACACCCAGGCTTAGGAAGTTATTAGTGCTTGGCTGAGCAGTTGTGTCTGTCCTTGCTCATGTTCTTAGTCTCCAGCAAATGGCTGCTTTCCTCCCAGAATGCAGTCGCGTTACCTTGCTCTTGTCAACAGCCACTGTGGCTTGGCTTATGCACGGTGATGTTAAGCCACCACAGCTTGATTGTCTGTGAGCTGAAATTACTGAGAGGTAAAATTTCATGGTGGGTAGAACAGGGAGTTTTTTTCCATACTAGGAATGCTTTATGTCTCTAGGCAGTGAGATGACTTCCTGAGGAAAACACGCTCCTATAAATTGACTTTATGAGACAAAAGTCTCTATCAAGACTCCAAGCTTCACCAGATCAAAACAGTTTTTCATCTTGCCTGACATCCTGCTTGCTTGTGGTCTCCAAACACAAATGTGGGAGCTCCTGGGTTCTTATCTTTTTTGGAAATTGTTAATTGAGATGAGTGGAAAGAGATGCTTGTACTGGAGGAGCAGGAGCAAGTGAGATGTTTAAAGCTGCCTGAACAGGATAGAAGACAAAAAAAGTCAGGTGGGTTGTGTTGAAAAGATGCAGGAGTGATAGCTGCGCCTTCTCTACCCTGTTTACTTTTCCAGTTCTTGTGCCTGGAAAAGGCTACAGCATAAGTGTGGACAAGAAGAAGTAGAAACTGTAATGGCATGAGAAGAATACTTTCATGAGTAAATTGCAAACAAATTGGATAGTCCATGAGAAGTAAGGCATGGAGAAGACCTGTGTATGGATTTCTGTACCCAAACACATAGAAGTGTGTTTCCCATTGCTTGCCTTCAGCCTCTTGTCTGAGAAAGTCTTCCTTTCTATGGTGTGGCACCAGGCAGAAGAGTAGGACACTTAGTATGCTGATGAGCATTGTTCTTTGCCAATAGGAAACCCAATCTTAATGACTGGCCTGGCTGACCTCCTGGCTGCTTTCATATGGAAAGGGGACAGGAAGTGGAGCAAGATGGGCTGTAGTTTGTTTTCTGGGCTCATATACAGTGAAAGGAAGTGACTTGTTTTGATGTCACAAAGCTGTAGTATTGATTTATGAACAGTAGTAAGTTTTCATACGATGACATGAGAAGCAAGGGAAGCACAGGATGATACAGGGATTGCGGTGGGTTCATGACTTGATGCCATTTAGGAATGAATAAATAAATAAATAAACAGTCTGTGGAAACTTGATCCCTTTGCAGTGCCTGTCACATGTTGTGCAGACAGGCTGAGTTTGGTAATTCTTAATTGACACATGCCTTAATTTCCAGCATTGATGTGCTTCTAACCTTAATTTGAATGTATCAGTGCATACAGCATTAGTCAAGCAATAGTTTATAAAACAATTGTTAAAATAACTTTTTTCTTTTTTTTTTTTTCCCCCCCTCCGTAGCATGCATCCACTGTGAGGAAGTGTTTGGCATCGTGGGAGAAAATTTTACTTTTCCAGTAAAAATAGACCAAAAAATTTCAGAAATTATTTGGACGAAAAACAAGGATAAAGTGGCTGAATGGGAAGGGCAAGACAAACCGATATATTTTACTTCTCTCCGTAACAGAGGCTTGCTTAACATGGAGAATGGGAGCTTGACTATATTTAACTTGGAGGACAGTGATACTGGCATATACGTGTTACAGTACTTGGATTCTCTGAAAACAAATCATGAAAGAACTTTCATGCTTCTTGTGTTACGTAAGTAGTGGAAAAACTGCATAAAGAATTTGCACCACTTTATTCACTTGAAGAAGGCTAGAAAGGGGATTGTTTATTTGTCGGGGCTGTTTTTTGGCTCTATTGTTAAGTTACTTAGGCACTTTAAACAAATTTTCAAAGGTGGCATCTACTTTGCCGATCATTACTCACCTTGGAATGACTTCTAGAATGTGTAGATGGCACACTGTGTACTTTCAGGTAGATAACCAAACTCTTTGAGCAAGCTGACTCAAGTTATCTCAGACAGTATGTATCTACTAAAGATGCTCCTGCAGGCATATTATATGTGCTTGAATATCTGTGGCATCGTCCTGTGCAGATCTACGCAGCTTCACTAGTAGTCTTTGGGAAATATATTTGACCAGTGTGTATGTTAGTCCTATTGACAATGAACCATGAGGGGTCTCAAACTAGGCACTGAAGAACCACAAACAGGGCCACTTCTAGAAATACATTTCTTGCGCACACACCCCCGCACCTTACACACGCACTTTCATCTATGCACTCTCATGCTGCTTTTGTTGCTCCAGCCCTTGTCCTGTGCTAAAATTCAAGGCAGTTTATAACCAAATTAATACAGAACGTTTTCTCTCCCTTTAGGTCCCCCTTCAGAACCTAAAATAAGTTGCAACAGCAGTGGTGATAACCTTGTGTTAAAATGTGCAGCAGATTTCCAGAAGCCTCTGTATTACACTTGGAAGTTTGATGGCCAACCACTTAATATTCAGTCCCAGGAAGTTTCCATCCCTGAAAACAGTGACACTCCCGATAAAGTTACATGTTCAATTAAATTCTCTCAAACGGAAAAGAGCTCTGAAATCTCTTTGACTCAATGCTTTCTAAATAAAACAGGTAATGAATGGGTCAGGTTGTATATGCACGTCTGAAAGGCTAGGTTGGTATGCAGCATGGACTTTGACAATAAGATTTCTACTCGTGGGTTGAAATAAGGACAGGGAGATTGCTCAGCAATTACCATCACAAGTGAAACAGATTCGACTTGGGAAAATGAATTTAATTTATTGCCAATCAAAATCAGGGTAGATTTTGAGATGATGAGAAACAAGAACAAATCTTAAAAACACTTTCCCCCCCACCCGCCTGTTCTTTCTGGGCTTAACTTCACTCCCAAATTCTTTACCTCCTCCCTGCCAGCGGCACAGGGGACGTGGAACGGGGGTTGCGGTCAGTTCATCTCACGTTGTCTCTGCCGCTCCTTCCTCCTCAGGGGGAGGACTCCTCACACTCTGCCCCTGCTCCAGCATGGAGTCCCTCCCATGGGAGACAGTGGTTCACGAACTGCTCCAGCGTGGGTCTCTCCCATGAGGTGCAGACCTTCAGGACCAGACTGCTGCAGCATGGGTCCCCCACGGGGTCACAAGTCCTGCCAGAAAACCTGCTCCTGTGTAAAGTCCTTTCTCCGCGGGGCCACAGGTCCTGCCAGTAGCACGGGCTTCCCATGGGGTCACAGCCTCCTTCGGGTGTCTCCACCTGCTCCAGCGTGGGGTCCTCCATGGGCTGCAGGTGGAATCTCTGCTCCCCATCATCCTCCATGGGCTGCAGGGGGACAGCCTGCCTCACCAGGGGCTGCAGGGGGATCTCTGCTCCGGTGCCTGGAGCACCTCCTCCCCCTCCTTCACTGGCCTTGGTGTCAGCAGAGTTATTCCTCTCACGTATTCTCACTCCTCTCTCTCAGCTGCTGTTGCACAGGAGTTTTGATCGTTTCTTAACTCTGTTATCCCAGAGGTGCTACCACCATGGCTGATGGGCTCAGCTTTGGCCAGTGGTGGGTCCCTCTTGGAGCTGGCTGGCACTAGCTCCAATATGGGGCAGCTGGCACTAGCTGTCCAAAATGGGGGCAGCTTCTGACATCATCTCACAGAAGCCACCCCTGCAACCACCCCACTGCTGAAGCCTTGCTATGCAAACCCAATACAAGATATTTGCTGAAATTTCATTTGGCTGAGATCTGGCTTGGCCTTTCATAGGCCAAAAAAAAAGAAATAGCCATCGCCTTTCAAGTGATGATGTGCCTTCAGTGAACTAAGGTACTTATCACATAACTTTCCTGAAACTGGCTTAAGGTTTTGCTAATTACTGACTCTGGTGCATTATGGTTTTTTGAGGTTACTTTTTAAAAACAAATAGTTATAAAACATACTCAGAGTTGTATTTCTACTGAAGTAGTATATCACACAGTTGCCTTTTAACTAACTAATATTTATTTTATTTTTTTTAAAGGAGTTGGCTATCACAAAAGAAGTCATGGTGGTCTTGCTGTGGCTTTTGTTCTCCTAATTGTAGGAGTTGTAGGAATACTAGCATTGCTTTGCATAAGAGGTATGTATAGCATTTCCTAATTGAACGTAACATGCTTCAAGATTATGCTGTTCTGTTTCTGTAGAATGTATGAAAGTTTCTGACCATGGGATGTATTGTAAATCCGTAGTAGAAACAAGTACAACTTAAGCAAAAGCAATAAATTTGAAGGAAATAATATATTGAACTTTCTTGCTCTTGGACAGTGGGTTCTGTGTACTGTGAAACACTCTAGTTTATATATTTCTCCTTTAGACTGGATGTTTCACTGTGTCTGTTTACTTACCAAGTATCTATGGCCCCTCCCATTCCTAGCTGAGTGTGCTTCCACTGTCTTTTTTTGAGAATATCATGAAGCTGCCCTCAAGATCAGATTTATTGTTGGGACAGGCTCTTACCGGGGCCTATGAATACCTTATGCTGAGTCTAATCTGCCAACTCAGTGTGCTCAGCTGATACACAGAGACTTCTGTGCCTCTTGTCAGCCTGTATTGCCATCATCTTGAAGTTCTAGATTTGTTTCTTGATCCATCCCTACTCTGAATTCGAGTATCTCTTTTGTAAATCTGACAGCTTATTCAGAAATGGTAATTGTAGGCTACCACTATGTATCTCTTGCTGCCCCCTTCTTAGGTTACTCTGTCAAATTGTATTCTGGCTTGAAAAAGATGCACACCATCTCTTCTCTTTGTGTTTGAGAGAGTCCCAGACAGGAGTACATTGCCTCATCCTAAGCGTGGTCTGCATGGAAAATTCCTATTGGCTTCCCGGTGAGGCCACCACTTGGGGGTGGCTGCAGAGTGAAGAGCATGGGATGCATCTCCTATCTGGGAAGGACCGATTGATGATGTTCTAGAGGGAGGCTCTAATCAGAGCATACATAGATGTATATTGCATGTGGACCTTGTGCCTTCCTGATTGTTCCCCATTTAGTTTCTGTTGGCATAGAATCATAAAATCAATCGGTGGGAGAGAATCTCTGGAGATTTCATCCAACTTGCTGCTCAAAGCAGGACCAACTTCAAAGCCTAGATCAGGTTGCTTAGGGCCTTGCCCAGTCAAACTTAGAATATTTCCAAGGATAGAAACTCCCTAGCCTCATTCAACATGTGTTCCAGTGCTGAATCACCCTTGTAGGAAGGATATTTTCTTTATTTCTGTTAGGGATTTCCCTTTTGCAATGGGCAGCTATTGCCTCCTGTCTTTTTGTTCTGTACTTCTGAGAGGAGTCTCTGTTGTTTTCTGTGTAAGTTAGTTGTAGACTGCAACTAGCCATCCCCTTAGCCGTCTTTTTCTTCAGGCTGAACAAACCCAATTTTCTCAGCATCTCCTTGCACAGCTCCTGCCCCTAAACATCTTGGTGGACATTTGCTGGGCTAGCTTCAGAATGTCAGTGTTTTTTCATTAATTGGGAACGCCAAACTAGACACACTACTCCATATGTGCTGTCACAAATGCTGAATAGAGGGGAAGAATTATTTCTGTCAATGTACTGACTACACTTCTGCTAACTCAGCCTAGTATCTGGTAGGCTTCTGCTGCAAGGGTACATTTCTGACTAAGGTTCAACTCATTGTCCGCCAAGGCTTCCAGGTCCTTTTTTGCAGAGCTGTTTTCTAGCCAGGCAGAGCTACGCCTGTACTGCTCTATGGGGTGGTTTCAAGAAGTGCAGGACTTTGTTTGCCTTTGAACATCACATCTTTTCTGCCAGTACGTTCCTCCAGGTTGTTGAAGTCTCTCTGAATGTTAGCCCTGCCCTCCAGCGTATCCCCTACTCTCCCCAGTTTGACATTGTCTGCAAACTGAGGGTGCCTTCTGTGCCCTCGTCCATGCTGGTGATGTTGAACAACACTATACTTGATATCAACACATGAAGAATGTCACTTATAACTGGCCATCAGTTAGACTTGAAACAATTCAGCTACTTCCCTTGAAACAGCGAAGGTTTGACCATGCTAGAAAATAAACTTGTTATACCTCAGTAGGATAAGTACTGCATAGGTATAAGCAGATGGAAGATGTGATTTGCTGATTTAAGTACAAGACTCAGGGTTATGAACTGCTAATTTTTGCTTTAGATTTGGTTAGGTGTGTCCAACTTGTTTCATGAAGCCTGTTTTGTTGATCTCTCACTGATTGTCTTTGGTCCAAAATGATATTTCACTCTTTATTCTTTCCTCAAGTCAAGTATACAGTTGCATGTCCTCAGTGAATTTTTTTTGAGTTGGGAGGGTGGGGAATGGATAGAGGCTGTCAGTTAGTTTCCAAAGGCACAGAACTTTATTTCTGAGTAATTTCTCCAGATATTCTGTTTGTTTTGGTGCAGATAGAGGTAAACTTGGAACAGGAAAAGCTGCTCAGAAGAACAGTCCAGTGCATGGCTCAGGTAAGAGGGAGTGTCACAAATGTGTGGAAATCAGACTATTGCTTTAATTTGGTCTAGGCTTGTAAATTTTTTCTCTGTGGCAGTATAGTCTTTCATTGGAGGGGTAAAGGAATAAGTTTGTTTCTGGCTTTGGTTGTTTTGCAGAGTGTAGTTATTTTGTCCAGGTCATTAATACGTATTTTCTAAAATAAATAATTTCGTTATAGGAGAACAACTTTGCTCTCCGGACAGCCAAGAACAGCTTAACTCAGGCAGAGGTAAGAAACCTGTATTGGAATATAGATGTTTTTAAACACTTGCTGTTGGTTGGAGCAAGGAGTCTGATCTGCTCTTTCCTTTTTTTTTTTTTTTTTTTTTTTTGTTTTGCAATGCGTAAGCTTTTGAGTTGATTTTCAGTGTGTGCACATGTGGCTTCAAAGTCTCAGTTGAGGATAATCATAGGGACTTGCACTTAGTGGATGTATTAGTGGGGCTCGCAGAATTATTGACAGTGAATGACCTGAGATTCGCGTGGTTAGCAGCTCTCTTCGGAGGTGAATTCTACTTGTGACAATGGAGAATGGGGGCTGGCCTCAGGATGAGGGCTGGAAAAGCGCATACTATACAGCAATCTGTCTGTTGGAGCACTTACACTTTACCTGTTTGGTTAAGGCTGGTTTATGTACTGAAATGAGGTTAACATTTCTTCCATCTCTTTTAATCTTACCTGCCTGTCCCATTTAAATAAATTTCTTTCAGGAATTTGGTTGATTATTTTTCTAAATTCAGTATTCTTATCAAGCACTTAGGGCTGGGCATGAATATGATACATGGCTTGTTCCCACTGTCCCCCATGGAAATTTCTTGCTGGCCTATCTTGGAAATTGGGCAGCTAGCCTGTACTGACTTTGACTTGGAAAGCTGGTGGTTCCAGTGGGTGGGGATTGATGCTGCGCATGTAGCAGTAGATTTAATGATGACTGCTGAAGGTAATATGATATCAGACTGGCAAGAGTTTGAATCATAGAATAGTTTGGGTTGGAAAGGGCCTTTATAGGTCATGTAGTCTAATCCTCCTGCAATGAGCAGAGCCATCTTTAACTAGGTCACATTGCTCAGAGCCCTGTCCAACCTGAGCTTGAATGTTTCTAGGGCATTACAACCTCTCTGGGCAACTTGTTCCAGTGTTTCACCACCGTCACTGTAAAAAAAATTTCTTCCTTCTGTCTAGTCTGAATCTACCTTCTTTTAGTTTAAAATTATTACCTCTTGTCATATTGCTACAGGCCCTACTAAAAAGTCTACCCCCATCTATCTTATAACCCCCTTTATTGAAAGGCCAGAAGAAGGTCTCCCTGGAGCCTTTTCTTCTCCAGGCTGAACAACCCCAACTCTCTCATCCTTTCCTCATAGGAGAGGTGTTCCAGCCCTCTCATTGTTTTTGTGGCCCTCCTCTGGACCCACTCCAGCAGGTCCATGTCTGTCTTGTACTGGGGACCCCAGAGCTGGATGTGGTACTCCAGGTGGAGTCTCACCAGAATGGAGTAGAGGGGCAGAATCACTTCCCTTGATCTGCTGGTCACACTTCTTTTGATGCAGCCCAGGATAGTGTTGGTTTTCTGGGCTGTGAATGCACATTGCAGGGTCATGTCCAGTTTTTCATCCATCAGCACCCCTAAGTCCTTCTCTGCAGGGCTGCTCTCAATCCTTTCATCCCTCAGCCTGTATTGATACTGGGGCCTGCCCTGACCTATGTGCCGGACCTCGCACTTGGCCTTGTTGAACCTCATGATGTTCACATGGGCCCGCTTCTTGAACTTGTCCAGGTCCCTCTGAATGGCACCCAGTCCCTCAGGCATGTCAACCGTACCACACAGCGTGGTGTCATCTGCAAATTTGCTGAGGCTGCATTTGATCACACTATGTCATTGATGAAGATATGAAGCAGTACTGGTCCCAGTACAGACCCCTGAGGAACACCACTTGTCACTGACTTCCATCCGGACATTGAGCCGTTCACCACTACTCTCTGGATGCAACCATCTAGCATTTGCTGTTAGTTTACTGTGGTCATACCTTGAAAATCCATCCAAGGACTGGTGAAGACAGGCATGTTGCTAGTCCGGTGCGCAGAACTCTGGTCCTTGGTTTTCGTGCATGACTTCGGTACATGCTTACATCCTGTGGGACAAGTTGCAATTGTTGAAAAACCTTTCAGTTTCAGGAAAAAAAGTCTGTTTACAGCACCTTTTGATTCACTTTTACTCCATTTTGCAGGCATGTTTTCTCCTTCCCTTATCTTGACAGTTACGACAAGACAGTCAGTGGAGGAACTTCTCATGTCTTTCCATTCATTATCAGTCTACTGCCCACCCATGATTTCTTTACGTGATGCCCTTCTGCAGACTGTACTGATTCTCAGGCTTGTCTGCGTTCCTGTCTTCCTGTCCACATCTCCACTTGTGCTTCTGCTGTCCATTCTAATACTGCTTTTTTCTTTTTTTCCTTCTTTTTTTTTTCCTTCTTTAATTTGCAGCAAGATTGCTCAGTTCTCTGGCTCGTGGATTCGTGTGGGAATCACTCTGTATGGTGAGCAGTTAAGGAAGGAGACAAGTCCTTCGGTCTGTGCCCCTTTCATGAGGGTGAATGAGGCTGACTTGTTCTAGCTTTAACATGTGTGTGTCTTGTTACCAGGACCACTGTGGTCTATTCTTGCAAACCGAACTAAATCAGCCCCAAGGTAGTCAAGCAGATTAGGGAGAGCAGGGGAAGACTCTTAAAAAATCCTTTGTTGTGGAGGTCACCAGAACAAATACTGTTTCAGTGAGGAATGGTCAAAGCTCCTGCCATCAGATACGAGCTCAGTGCCCTGTTGAAGTGTTGTGGTGTTGAACTAAGGGTGGCTTCATGTGGGATACTTGGTCTGGTGTCTTACACAAGCTGCCAGAGCAGAATGCTTCTTGGATTCCAAACTACTGTGTCGCCTTTTGCAGAGGTTTTCTGTATGTTTAATTTAATTTCTTAAGTTGTTTAATTTCTGAAGTTTCTTAGTGCTTTTTTATGGGTTTGAATGTTAAAAAAACATGACGAGGTCCTTGGTGATGGGCTTGGAAAAGATGCCACAGGTAGGGAGGCAGTGCTATGAAAGGAAGGTTTGGGGATTTTTTTGTTCTTACGTTGGTTTGGGGTTTTTTTTCCCTCCCAAAAGCTGTGCTTCTAGCCTGTGGTTCAGAGATCACTGAAGTCTAGAGACTACTGGTGGATTTGAAAGTGAAAAAAGGAAAAGGATGGGGAAAACTCCCTCCCCAAACAACAAAACCCCTCCTTCTGCTACTACACTTGTGTTACTTCAGAATGGCCCAATGTTTCTTGAAGGTCTGCAAAGAGAAATGGTTTAAAGTCACAGTGCAACACATAGATGAGGTAAAGAAAGGAGATGTAGATTGTCCTCTCAGCTGTCTCTGGCTTCTTATGGCAAATCTGTGTAGTTTTATCACCTTAAATAAATCCACTTCAGAAAGATTTTGTAAAGCTGTAGGCATAAGTGTAGATAAACGGTGGTTATGGTCTGGGACCTTAAGTAGTTGGAGTTGAAATGAATTGTGAGTGCTTCAATAAAGTAGCATAACATACTGCCTCTCAAGAGTATCTGCTAAAAGTGTTGTAATGAAACTGTACTTTTCAGGCTGCATTGTATGTTTTGCAGACTATTGTGCTACCTTCATACAAATTTCTAAAAAGATTTCTGTTTGCTTGCAGCTATCTCTTCACAAGCTGTTGAAGGTGAGAATGAAAAGCCTGAAGCAGGTAATAAGTGAGATGGTGCCCTAAAATAGGAGAACATGAAGGGACGAATTAATTTTGCACATGGCCTTTTGCAGTCCAAAACATATTAGCATGGTCTCGATGTAGAGATTACTATTCCCCTCTGGGCCTAGAAAGACCTGTTGCCTTAGGAACAGTAAATGTTGATGGGCAGATCACTAGATGAGAAGTCAAAAAGACCTGGATCCTTGTGTGTGTTAAACAGCACTGAGCAAATACCTTCTTGGGGCTTCAGCTTCCCTTTTGATATGATGAGAATGATGCTGCATGCTGTGTTCACAAATCACTTGACCATCTGCGGAAAGAACTAAGCATGTATGAGGAAACCCCTTTTATAGTAAATAAGCAAATCACCCTTTTGTCTTCTGTTACCTTTCATTTGCATGCAAAAGAGCGCAAGGATATTTTTAAAGTATGTCATCATGGGTAGCTGATCTTTGCTTTCAGCTGAAAGAAACTCAAGCAGGACCTAAGATAATGAAATGCTGTGGCTTCAAAGCTTTCTTTGTATTGATGGCAAATAGATCTGAGCCTCAACACACCAATTTAGAGTTGGGATGCTTACAAGCTTGCAAAATGCTAATTTGAGAGATACAGCAGGCTTCTTTCCTTAGGGAAGCGCCATTTCTGGATGTGGTATCTTCTACTTGCTTTATGTTCTAGGAAAGTGTTTTGACTGCATTCATCAGGCAGCTAAGCAAAGCCCCAGTTTTTTGTTTTCTTACTACAGCCAGTAAATTTCAAGGAAATTGTGACCTGTATTTTTTTCTAGAAGTTGTTTTTATTCCATAGGGATAGTGAAATATGAACATTATAGTTCAAGTCAGTAAAAAAAGTGGTTTTGTTTTTGTTTCCCCCTGCCCAGGCTGTTGCACTGATGATTCATTCTCTTGCTAACTCTTCCACCATTTTCCACAACTGGCTGATAAGGGGGTTTGAGAAGGCAGGTTTTTTCTGATTAAGGGAAAAATCACTAATGATGTCAATAAAGAAAAGTAAACCCAGAAGCCCCTGGGTTTTGCTGCTTATTCTTCCTGCATGAATTGTAATGGGCATAGAACAGCTTTCCTCATCTGAAGAAATAGGGGTTGTGTAACTGATGGTCAAGGTGTGCTGCACTGTGGGATTGGACTGGACCTTTCATGGTCTTATCACTTAAGTAACTATCTCCACATACATAGACATGGATATAGGAGAAGGAGGTTTATTTTATGCCTGTCTTATGGAAGAAAGGGAGGAAAACGTACAGTTTGGGCAAAAGAGAATTCAGTTCATAGATAAAGGTTATCTGATTGGACACTAGAGGAACAAAATAAAATACTTTATACCAGGAAGGGGAGTCAGTGCACCTTTGCGCAGTACACCCTGCAGCACCTAGGTAGCACACAATCGCTGCTGTACAGAGGGGAAACAGTAGGCAAGGCTGTGATGTTCTCTGAAATGCGTGTACAAAGCAATTCTAAATGGGGCTTCTGCTGGTAGCACAGCAGGACGTGGCAACTGCAGAGGAGAAGGTGTGCTGCCAAGCTCTGGATAGCACAGGGCAATGACCTATGCTGGTGTGGGGAAGAAGCAATGGAGTATGCTCCTGAGGGACCGTAGCTCTTCTCTGATCTCTTTTCAGACAAAGAATTGAACAAGGACGACAATCCCCTGAAAGACAAGCAGACGGTGGACAATGATGTAAATCAGGAAGGTAAGTGCCTGTTCTATGGAGCAGTCTGTGCTGATGACTCAGTGGGCAAACTGGCCGGGATACCTTGGAGTTGAAGGCTCAGAGTGACTTTTCTGTAATGATTCTCAATGGAGGTATTGGGGGATTGTGCCGTGAATGCTGAATACCTGTCTTCTGTGCAGGAGTTTCAGGAGCAGAGGTAACTAGCTTTCAGGCTGTAGTTAAGGGCAGAGCGAGTCTTGTGTTTTTACCACCCTTGGAAATAACTGCAGCAGAGCATACGGACTTGAAGGACACGTGTTTTGGAGATTGTTGGGGTTTAAAAAAATAAATGAAAAAAATAATCCCAGTCAGAGTGAGGTTAGAATACTGGTCGAGTAGCAGTCCCTGCTGAAGTACTGGCTCCTGGTTAGCAATGCCTATTGGGAGGTCAGAGGGTTGTGATCACTGGTATGAATTATAGTTGGAGGTCAGTATCTAATGGTGTACCCCAGGGGTCAATACTGGGTCCTGTCCTCTTTAACATCTTCATTAATGATCTGAATGATGGGGCAGCAAGTTTGCTGATGATACAAAACTGGGAGGAGTGTCTGACACACCAAAGGGATGTGCTGCCATCCAGAAGGACCTTGACAGGCTGGAGAAATAGGCTGGCGGGAAGCTCATGCAGTTCAACAAAAGGAAATGCAAAATCCTGCACCTGGGGAGGAATAACCACCTGCGCCAGTATATGCTGGGGGCCAACCAGCCAGAAAAGCAGCTTTGCAGTAAAGGATCTGGGGGTCCTGGAGAACAAGATGAGCATGAGCCAACAATGTGCCCTTGCAGCAAAGAAGGCTAATGGTATCCTGGGCTGCCTTAGAAGGAATGTTGCTAGCAGTTCAAGGAGGTGATCCTTCTCTACTCAGCACTGGTGAGGCCACAGCTGGAGTCCTGTTCTGGGCTCCCCAGTACAAGGGAGATATGCAGCTACTGGAGAGAATCCAGCAAAGGGCCACAAAGATGATTGAGGGATGTGGTCCTGGGCAGCCTGCTTGAGCAGAGACATAGGACAAGATGAATTCTAAGGTTCTCTTCCAACCTTAACCATCATATGATTCTGTGATACCATCTCTCATATGAGGAAAGGCTGAGAGAACTGGCATTGTTCGGTCTGGAGAAGAGAAGGCTTAAGGGGTTCTCATCAATGTGTATAAATATCTGATGGGAGCAAATGAGGAAAAGGGAGCCAAGCTCTTCTCAGTGGGTGCCCAGTGACAGGACAAGAGACAGTGGACACCATCTGAAACATAAGAGGATCTGTCTGAACATCAGGAAACACTTTTTTACTGCAAGGGTGACTAAGCACTGGAATACGTTCCCCAGAGTGGCTGTGGAGTCTCCATCCTTGGGAGATATTCAAAAGCTGCCTAGACATGGTCCTGGGCAGCCTTCTCTGGGTTCGTCTGCTTGAGCTGGGGGGTTGAACACGATGACTTCCAGAGGCTCCTTCCAACCTCAACCATTCTCTGATTCTTTGATATCAGATACAGATAAGGCTGAGATACCTTTGCCTCTGTCTTGACGGCCTCTGTGGCCTTTTTGCCTAGAGGCAGGTTCAGGGAGGAGGGGATCTGCTAGTAGTGGAAGAGGATCAGATCAAGAATTTCTGGAGAAATCTTGGCCCAAACCAGTCCATGGGATCTGATACAAGGGTTGCTACAAGAGCTGGCAGATGTCATTGCGAGGGTGTTCTTTATCACCTTCAAAAGTCATGTTGGGGAGGATCCGTGGCAACTGGAAGAAGGGAAACATTGCAGCTATTTCCAAAAAGGTTAACAGGTCCATCTGTGGAACTACAGGTCACTCAGGCTTGCTTTCATCCCTGGGAGAATCATGGGGCAAGTCTTCTTGGAACATCTTTCTGGTCACAGAAGAAACAGTGACTGGGAGTAAGTGTAAATTGGAGTTGGCCAACTTGACAACCTTTTTGGGATGAAATGCCTATATCTGCGGAGGAGAGGAAAACAATGGGTGTCATATACCTTGAGTTTAGCAAGGCTTTTTATGCAGTGTCTCTCAGCATTGTTGGAGCCCTAAGTTGGGATGTCCTAGTCTGAATGAATGTCTATCTCCATGGGTAGAAAACTTGCTAGATTATCAAGCCTGCAGGTAGTGGTTAATGGGTTGTAGTCCACATGGATGTGAGTGCCAGGTGGAGTAACGCAGAGGTCTACTTTTTTTTGGTGACCTGGACAGGAGAGTGAAAACAGTGTCATTGAGTTTATAGATAACAATAAATGTGGAGTGCAGTCAATCAGTATGAGGGCAGGATTGTCGTTCAGAGGGGAAGTGGCCTGTGTGAATTTTGTGAAATTCTGCAGGGGCAAAGCAGGGTCCTGCACCTGGATGGACCAACACCCTGCACTCGTGCAGGCTGGAGACTGACTGGCAGGGGAGCAGCTCTGCTGAAAGGTACCTGGGAGTCCTTATGGATACAGTACGCTATGAGTCAACAGTGCTCCCTGGCAGCAAAGGCAGCTGATAGCATCCTAGGTTGTTTTAAGGAGTGCTTAAGCCAGTAGAATGAAGGAAATGGTTATTTTCCATTACTTGGCACTTATTAGATGACATGTAGAGTATTACACCTAGTTTGTGGCCTACTCAGTGCTGGAAAAGTGCTGATAAATTTGAGCAAGTTCAGCAGAGTGCCAACAACGTGGTCAGGGGCTGGAGCACAATTTCTCTGAGGAAGGGCTGAAGAAACTGGGCTTGTTCAAGCCCAGAGAAGAGCAGACTTTCAGGGTACCTAACAGCTGTTGCCAATACCTATGGGGATATTGATAAGAAGGCTGAGCCAGGCTGTTTACTGAGCTATATTACTGGGATATCAGGGTGATGGCCCTAAACTGAAGCAGGGGAGATTCTGTGTGGGTATGAAGTGTCGTGGTTTAACCCAGCAGGCAACTAAAACCACCACACAGCCTTTTGCTCAGTCTCCCCTCCCCCCAGTGGGACGAGGAAGAGAATTGAAAAGAATGAAAAACAAAAGTAAAACTCGTAGGTTGAGATAAAGACAGTTTAATAGAACAGAAAAGGAAGATAATAATGATAAAAGAATATACAAAACAAGTGATGAACAGCACAATTTCTCACCACCTGAAACTGATGCTCAGCTAGTTCCTGAGCCACAATCTTGCCTCCCAGCTAGCTTCCCCAGTTATATACGGAGCATGACATCATATGGTATGGAATATCCCTTTGGTCAGTTGAGGTCAGCTGTCCCAGCTGTGTCTCCTCCCAACTCCTTGTGCACCCCCAGCCCACTGAGGTGGGGTAGTGTGAGAAGCAGAAGGGGCCTTGGCTCTGTGTAAGCACTGCTCAGCAGTAACAAAAACATCTCTATATTATCAATGCTGTTCTCAGCATTGATAGCCCCGTACTAGCTGTCATAAAGAAAATTAACTCTATCCCAGCCAAAACCAGCACAATGAGGAAAAAGATTTCTGCCTCTAAGCATAACTAAACACTAGGACAGGCTGCATGGAGTCATTGTGGAGTTTCTACCTTTGGAGGTTTTTAAAACTTAACTGGAGACAGTCAGACAGTCCTGAGCAACCTGTCTAGAACCGAATTTTGACCTTTCATCAAGAAGGGCGTTAAGAGACCTCCTGGACTCCTTCCCTGAGTGAACCTGAGTGATTCTGTGTGTCTGATGAATTGTAGCTGGAAACTCATCTCTAAGCAATGACATACCACTGTGAAGTTAAGCAGTGAGATACAGTCCAGAGGACTGTAGCTCTCCTGCAATCTCTTTTCAGAATTCTCTGCCATGCAGAACAAAACCCTAACATCCAAGTGTGCAGCTGACCAAGGTGTAACAGAGGGAGGTGAGTGCCTGTTCTGTGGTGGGGAGCTATTTTGGGGGAAAGGTGTTGGCTTTCTGGTGCGAGCTGATGGCAACATGTTGAGTTGTAGGTAGTAACTCACTCTTACACAATGCCCAGTACCTTGAAGCTGAGCAAGGCAGGGGACTGTAGTTGTCTTCTGATCTCTCTTCAGACCTTCTTGAGGAGGAGAACAGCAGCTTGTTGGCCAAGCCAAACAAATGGCCCAGCTCTCAGTCAGATTGCTCTTGATCCATCTGGGCCAGAGAGGGGGGGAATGTTGTGAGCTCCAGGATTGCCTGAGTATTGCCTATTGGTCTTGCAGAAGTTACCCAGGATGCAGGAGGCAGAAACGGGGAGCACCCGAACAACTCTTCCGGTAAAGAAGGTATGTGGGGGTGAAGCTCCCCATGTTTTGGGAGAGTGTGCAGACTGGCACAGAGACTGGGAGTGGCAGTGCTGGGCCAGGCTGTATATGGTCCTGACCCCTTTTTGCTCAAGTAGAAAACAGTGAGAATTATTAGAAGGGAAAGGGTGCATGTGTAGTGGGTACGTGTGTGTGTGTGTGATGTGTGCTAGGGAATCATATGTTTGTGATGGAAATATTTAGAAGACTGGCTGATTTAGCTAGTTTAAAACTGTAGGATTAAATGTTACTAACATTCATTAATAACACACCTCTTGCTCATGCTTGTACTTTTACTTTATTCCATGCCTTAACAAGTGATAAAGGCTTATAGTGGCTGTCAGTAAGACAGTATGTTTTCGTGTCAGTAAATTTCTGAACTGCAATTCTACTTTGTTAATTATGAATGCTGTTGAACGTCATATCAAAGTAGATATTGTGTAACACTGAAGGGGTTTTTTTATTGCTTAGGTGTGCAATTGTTTTCTTTGGTCACAAAGAATACAGAGTTTACTTAATTTGTGTTTTTATTGTGGTTTGTTGTTATTTTTTTAAACCTACATGGACATGGTGGGAAAGCTCTGCTAAATAGACAGACCAGTGGGCCTGAGGACTGACACATGGAATGAGAAAACTGATTATTACTCTGTATGGGAGAATAGTTGATCAACACTACATCTTATGGATATTAGTGAAATTCAGGCTGTGAAGATGCAATTTTTCTCAACGATTGTTTCATATTTCATGAA